GGAAAGAAAGAAAACACACACTCACTCACACACAGGATTTTATGCCAAGGTACATATATACCTTTTTTCATACCACCTTTACAACCACACTCACTATTACACTGTTTGGTGAGTATTATTGTCCACATATCATAGGAGACGAAGAGAACAGGCATAACAGGGGAAAGTTTCCCACCTGATTTCTCAAGGTCAGTGAAGGAACAAGTATATCACCCTAGTTCTCTCTGTCCAAAACAGTAGTGTTCTTCATGTTATATTTCACTACATCTCATTGGTAGTTAATTTATGGAATCAGGCACTATGTCACCATTAGACTGAACTGACCAAATACATTAATTTGCTTACTAAACTTGCAAGATGTTGGATTGGGTTGATAGATATATAGAAACATAAGACAAAAAGATAGACATGTTATTTTATGTATACATTAAGTTTTGAAAATTTAAATGTTACCTGAAAAACTTAAATTTAAAATTAAAAATGATCTGTGGATACATTGATTTATCATACAAAAATACTTATTTTTGAATCAGCCTTATAAATTATAACATTGCTATAAGGTATAATTAACTAGAAGTAAAGTGATCAATTGTTCCAAGTTTGTCTTATACGGAATTTTCTGGACCTCAGGATTTTCAGCATTAAAACTGAGAAAGCCCTCACAAACCAGAAAGAGATGACTGTCCTAAATGAGACATTTTTAAAGTCCTAAATATGTTGCTTTCAAGCAGAGCTAGTTAGCTATTACACAGGTAGAGAAAATAGAATCTGTGTGTTGAATTTCAAACACTAAGTAGCAGCATTCAATTTTGAGGTAGTTTTTGGTAAATATAAGACAGTTTATACACTTTTTGTACTTAAAATACATGTTTTCTACCCAAAACCCTTTGAATTTCTTGAGGCTAGATTTATTACATCTGTTTTGCCAAGGATCTGAGATATTATTTTGTTGATAATATGTGTAAAGGTGAAAATTATTTTTTAAAAATTAACTATTTACTGGCCTGGGAATTTTCCTAAAAAACAAATAGCAAATGAAAAAATATTTACAGATGAAAATCTACTAAAACATTTTAACAATGACAAGAGACTGTGGTGCTTGACACAGGACTTAATCCCTCCCTCCCACTCCAATCTCCCAACTCAGTTTGATAGGAAGCCCATTCTGCATAGGTGTGGTTGAGAGAACATGGCTTTTCTCACCTCAGCTCCCCATCAACACGTATGCCATCTCCCCAGGACAGGCAGGATGCTAGCATTTCTCATGCCCTCCAACTCTGGGTTTCAGAGATGGGCAGCTTACTTCCCCCAACCATTCCCACTCATATAACATAGGCTCTACCCTTGGTGGACAGGAAACATGGGGCCCAATCACTTGCTTCATTTTGCCAGTTCCTGGAAAGGTGAAATGCAAAGACCACTCTCTGCCTTCACTCTGTACCTGGCACAGTGACTCAGAGAATTTCCCAGGGTCATAGAAAGCGTGTAAGAATAGGGAGTTCAGAAGCACCTCTGAAAATATTTGCTTTCCTTTATTGTTTTACCTTTACTAGACATAAGATTATAAAATATAATGAATACAACAATGTTTATTGGGCTTTTGAGTGTATGATATAATATAGATGAAATACATGTAAACATATGTATACATATGTATTTAATAGAACATAACTACACAAAAATAACATTTCTCTTTTGTGAGACTTAATATTAATTAGAATATAAGTCCAGATTTATATGGTAAAACATAGAGCAGACACTAAGAAAAACCTCAAAGATGTAGTAGAAAACGTTAAAAAATAATAGCATACTGGAAATATTTACTTATTGCAAAAGAAAATAAGCAGAAGAGAAATATAAGAACTTAACACCCCACCATCACAATTTTTATCTTACACAAGTGAAATTTTTAAATACTTGAAGTTTACTCTATCAACCAAGAAGTCTCTGAGCTAATAAATGTAATTTAAAAAACAAAACAAAACTACCACATTGTTGCACAACTCTGTGAATATGCTAAAATTATTGAATTACTCTGGTTGAATGGAGGGATTATAGAGATGTGAACATACTTATTATTTTAAAAATATTATGAAAACATTAATTATGTATTTGTAAAGGAAGAATTTATTGAAGTGCTTGGAGTAGAATATGTTTGTTCAAGTCAGAACAAGAGTGTTGATTGGAAACAATGATTAGAAAATATTTCATTCCATGCAAAGTTAGAGAAATAGTCTCCATTCTATACAGGTAATAGTAATAGCATCTTAGTATTGTAAAGTACCTTCATAATCTACAGTCATGTTTACATTTGTTCTACCACATCTGCATTAAGCATTTGTACAGTCAGTATATAATTACTCCTGGTGTTTACTGTTCTCTGAGGATCCTCATTATGACCTTAGGCAGCTCTGATATGTCTTTGTTATAGTTATCTGAAATAATAATTTCTTTAGATTCCATCCTCCTGATCTAACACTTGCTTCACATGAGCATCATTATCAAATCAAAGGCAGCTAGCATGTTCTTCTGTCTCCTTACTTCAGCTTGTGTATTCCTAGTTATTTCAAGTATTTCTCATAACCAGTTGAATCAAGTCTCCTTATAACCCTGCTTTCTTTGTCTTTGGGCAAAATTCTAATATACAGAAAATGCATACAGTATGGTGCCCTTTAAATATACCTTCCATGTATCTTAAAATGTGATGAACATTTAATCCATACCCTAATTATACACTTCGGTAGTGTTTAGTACCCACAGGACCATGTTCCACCTCCTTAATATAATTTACGTGGTACTCTTTAACCTAAATCACTTATCTTTTCTTCATGTTATTGTGCCTTGAATATTTTTTCCATAATTCCCAAAAACTTACAGTCAGTTTCCCACACAAACTCCATCGCTTTGCTACTGCTATTGCAGCTTCCTGAAATGCCTTTCTTCCTCTCCTCCCTTTGTCTGCCTCCCTCAGCTCCTCCATAATTCCTGTATAGTCTTCTAATATCAGCCAAACATCATTAGCAGGAAAGTTTGTCTGAACCAATAGATTTGTGTCTTTTCTTTGCACTCTGTAATGTCTTCTTTTTTCCTCTAGCAAGTGTTGAAATTTTCTGTTATATGTATCTCTCCAATGAAACTCTTCATTGGTGGGATTGTACTTGATTGATTTTTATATGTCTCAGTCCTAGTAAGGTGTCTAGAGCATTGTGGGCATTATATAATTGAACATGAACTACACCAACAGTCTTCCAGAAATGTTACAGTCACTGAAGAGATTCAGTAACAGTTTTCTTCTGAATTTAGGCATGAACTCAATTGACTAAAGATGCAGGTACTGGGAAAAAATTCTTTCTTGTTCAGTAAAGGAGATTATGTAATAGGGAGAATTAAACTCATTATATCCTGGACTCCCTGACTTTCTAAAGTGCCTTAACTTCACTGATAATTTTTTGAGAATCTTCCTATGAGACAGGTTACAACATTGAAATCATAAGACATCAATGCATTCTCACCCCTCAAATCAACAAGATTCTCATCAAAGGGAGGTCAACAGCATTACTAATACCCTGATTAGTATTAGTAATCAGGGTATCAGCAAACTTATGGTTCAGAAATCAGTTACTAACAAATATTTACAAGTCAAAAGTTATAAATCCCCATCTATAAAGGCAAAGTAGTTTTGATTTGGCATCAAAATGTTTTGCTACTGCCCTGGTTTCAAATAACCAGTCTGTCAAAAGAATACCTTGCTCTTTTGAAATACATATCTTACCTAACTTTTCATGATGAGCAAATAAATCACTTTCTTGGCCTGGGAATGTATGGGCTGATTATGATGGTATCATCTGCTTTCAGCCACTGTTTGTAGTGACCTTGCCTTGACTCAGCCTGCCAGGATAACAATGATAAGAATGTGACGCATCAGCCTTTTGGTTAACAGAGCCCTTTCATGTAAAATGTTTATTTAAAATTGGTAATAGTATATAATAATAACTATAAGGACAGCATTGATGACCTGGTTAAAATATCAGCTCTAAAACTTTCTAGTTATGTGAATTTGAGCAAATTTCTTAATGTCTCTATGACCCTGTTTCTTCATATATAAAATGGGAAGATAATAATACTCATGTTGGGGCTTTTATATTAAGTAAATATATGTAAATATTTGGAGCAATGTCTAACACATGGTAAGATTTCAAATTGTCTACTATTAAGATTGAAAATATGTTTGGAAATAATTATATACATATATATATAGCACTATATTTCTATTGTTACCTGAATATTTCTATAAAATCAATTTCTGTGATTTTAATCTTTTTCTTAGACTTTTTAGTCCAGCTTCTTTACACACACACACACACAGAACAAAACCTGTTATTGCCAAGAGGGTTAGTTAATAAAGAAATAAGAAGACATTATTAGCCAAAGTCACTGGTGTTTTGAAAGGTGTCTGAACATATAGAGCCATAAAACAACAATGAACCTTTTATATATATTTGAGGAAAATATTTCTATACAATAACATACTGTCAGTTAAAAAATGCCCCCTCAATTTCCATAATGTGATGATTTTTTTTTTTTTCTATCCTATTTCTGCTCTGGCCTAAGCCCTTTGTTGCTGTTTCGAGTGCCTCCCCCACCCCCAGCTCTTCCCAAAGCCACCATGAAGGTTTCTTTGCTGCTGGAAAAAGTTTCAATATGCAGCAGGTTAAGGAAACCCATGGTCAGCTTTAGAATTTTAGTCTCTGCTGAGTTTTCAAGGTGTCAGGACCCTAAAATAATATGAACAGCAGGGGTGCTAAATCTTTCATTATTTCAAGTTTCCCCTTGAGCATACTGACTTTGCAATAAAGAAGCTGTCATTTACACTCTTCTTTATTACAAGATAGGTAATAGCTACAGGGAGGAAAAAAAAGGAACTATGTCAAGTAAGCCTGACTGCCATTATGATTAATGTGTAATCATTGCACATTTGCATCTACTCTTTTCATATGCAGGTACTTCATAGATTGGAAGAGTGATGGGGACAGCTACTTTACAATAGATGGAACTGAAGGAACCATCGCCACTAATGAATTGCTAGACAGAGAAATCACTGCGCAGTATAATTTCTCCATAATTGCGCGTAAAGTTAGTAAGTATGGCATGGGTGGAATCAATGTTATACTGCAGCTTTTGGATTTAACATTCGTAAATGAGTCCCTGCTGAAGTGTTTTTCATTTTTGGACTGACAGCTGAGTGGTCTCCTGGGGAAACTCAGGAACTGTTCTTCTTTCTCATAGCATAAGTCCAGAGAAATTGTGACAGCTGCCCGTGAGCCTGTTTACAGCGTTGCATGCATCCCTAAGTGCTGCACTGCATTGTGTGACCTCATCCTCTCCCCCGCTGCACCCTCCGAAACCCACGGGAGTTCCAACTTCTCTTCCACATCTGATCCTCGTATATTACTGGGAGCTTCACTGGCCAGGGAGGAGGAAATAATTATAATATAAAAGAGTCTGTTCTGAAATATTTTCTGAAATTGAAGATGGCATTTTTAAAATTAGTCCTCTTCCTTCTCTCTAATTTCCTTAGAATGTAATTTTTAAGTGAGTATCACTGTGGAATATACAGGAGTTGCAAGTACATGCCTTCAAGAAGTCACTCGGCGTTTACAGGATGGTGAAGAATGATTCCTCGTGCTGCTTCCTGCTTGGTCCCGAAGATAATCCTCTCCTCTAAATAATTACAGGTCTTACTTGTTTGGCTGGACAATCAAGGATATTATCACAACTCCCTAAAGTATCAGATTAGCTGGTAGTGCTGATATGTGGCTATCAGCATAGTTGTTTATAACAAAATTGTATCTCTTCAGCTTTTCTGCTTATGGTCTCTTGAAAGACTAGGGGAAATCCCTTCTGAGTATTTTTCATTTTGTTTCCTTCTTATTTCATTTTGTGCATCTGGTACAAATATGTTGGCAGCTAATTTCACCTCTCAATGTGGGGAAACAGCTAACTGCGAATGTTTCTGTTTCAGAAGTTTTTGATCAATCTCAACTCAGTGGGGTGTAAATAAGAAACAGTTTTGTTTATCTTCAACAACTGCTCCCAAACATGATTAGTCAGACACCTATTCCCAGATCTTAATGAAGTCTTTAGCTAATGTCTTTACATTTAGGTTATTTTGGTTACTAAAGGTAAGCCTCATATAAGAGTAAATCTGTCTCCAACTTGGTGCATTGGAACAGTGACCTGTCACATGGGAAGACTGACTACCCTGAGGTGACCATACTAGCGAGGTCACATGTTGGTGGTCAGATTAACCATCATCACAGGTCAGCTCGTCCTTCCAACTTCATCTGCCAGTGTTCTAGATGCACGAGTGAAACTTGGAACCTCTAGCCCTGGCCACTTGCTAGCTGAATTCCACAACATACCTCTGTCAATGCTGTGTGAAATGAATATACACCCAGCCAAATTCTGCCTCAATTCTTACCCACAAAATTGTAAGAAATACAAAATATGTATTATTTCAAGCAACTGCATCTTGTTACACAGTAATAGACAACTGCAAAATTCAATGACTTTATAAACTGGAGCTATGGGTCCTTGTTTGTGGGGATACAGATTCTCTAGTCTGTTGGAGTGGAAAAGAGATAGGGAATTGACAATGCACAATTCTCTCTTATCTTCCCTCGTACAGTGTTGGGTTGCTACTGCGTCCATAACTAAATTGGATTGGCAGTAAGGCAGTTACCCAAACACTGTCTTCTCCTGTGATTTTTATAGTTATTTAATATTGGGAGGTGGGGGCGGGGGGGTGGTCTAGCATCTCATCTGCATAAGAAGTTAATATGGACACCCAGTAGGAAATTTTACAACTTCTTCATTCCAGGGTCCCCTTGAGCAGCAGGCAAATTTCTTTGGTGATTTAATAGCATAATTTCTCAATTTCAGCTCCTTTCTACAGTACCAACTTGACCCTGAGGAAATTCACATATCTTCGTCATGCTAAGTAGGCACTTCACAGGCTACCCTTCTACTGCATCTTTTGCCCTGCCGTCCCCTGCCTTCCTAGCTCAGGCAGGCTCTGGACACAGATGGTCCAGTCGGCTGTCCGAACAAAGATATTACGTGAGCAGAATGCTGGTCTCCCTGTGGAGTCCCTCCCACCCTCATTCGTTTTGTTTTCCTAAAATGTCCTTTCACACTTGGCATCTTTCTTCCCTCCAATACTATATCCTCTTACATTTAGATATGTTATTCAATGTTCCTTTTCTTTCACTTACTTCATTCATCTAGAATATTGGGGACAGTTGAACCATGTTGCGTATAGGAAAATTAGCTGAGTTTCCTACAATGTTTGGCAATATAGTGAAAATGAATTATCTAAGTTACCGAGTAGAAAACCTCTGTAAACCATGTTATACTCAGTCTATGGCTTGGACATAGTAAGTGATAACTGACCAGAGGTAGTCTCCTCAAATAACTTCTATTCTTTAAAGAGATATTGCCCATAGATTAGTAATTGGAATACTGTTTAATCTAAACTGAACTGTCTTAAAAATGCACCTACAAAACTTGTGCAAGATTTTTGAAGTAGGAGTAGGAAGCTCTGTACCTTAACTCACGCTGAAACTCTGCAGATAGTTCATTGACTGCCTGTATGGTAACTCTGAAAGGCCTCTTTCACCCCAGGGGGTCCCCAGACCACCAAAGCCGTCATCATGCTATGACGATACTTGTAGTCCCACATCCAGCACCTACTATCAGAGTACTGAGCTTCAACCATTTGGAAAATGGAAGGAGACTATGGACTCTTACAGTGGAAGCAAGTGTCATCGATCCTCAAAAACTTAGATTTCTTAAACTTAGGGAATGCTATTTTTAAAATTATCAATATACTTAAAGCATATGTTGGCTCTGCCACACTACCCGGCTGATTATAGTATTTACTTAAATAAAAATGAGAAAACCCTAGTGTATAGAGTTTCATAAGTTACGTTGGTCCTCCTGGGGGAGGTGCAGAACGGTAACTTAGACATAGAATCTATGTATATGCAAAATGTAAGAGTGGCGGTAAACTGATATTACTGAAATATCCACCTAGCCCTAGCCTATTCCCGTATTTTAGTGCCCTTAGGTAGTCTGCTGGGGTAAATGTTATGTTTCTCTGTGAAAAATGAAGAGGCTAAACACATACCTCCTGGTAATTAAAGAGTCTGCAATAAGAATAGCTTATCATGAGTTTTATTTTTCTTGAACTCAGAGAGTTGAAAAGTGAACTTTATTCATATTCTAATGCATAATGCTATTTTCATTGACTAAACTAGCCAGCTGAGCAGAAAACTACCATCATACTGAATGACAGAGAAATAAATAGTCCATGCTTGCCCTGACAGGAAGAGCAAAATTGCATCAGCATCCCTTATTGCAGATTGCACTAACATATGTTTGGCCCTGACTCTTCTATAAAAACTCTCAGGCGAAATGAAATGGGACAATGATTGAACAACTTCCAATTAGTTAAAAATCAGCCATTAATCAGTGTTGTTCTGGTTGGAGATCCAAATAATTTTATTAGACATCTAATAATTCTTTTATGCATTATTGCTTTACTGTTTTTATGATACTGATCTTGAGACTTTTTTAAAGAGACAGAAGCTCCAAAAATTCACTTCATTCAAATTATCAGAAACAACCAAAACAAGAACAGAATCAAAGATAAGGAGATCATTCAGAGGGTTATCAGCTGGGAGGGGGAAGGGAGAAAATGGGAGGAAAGATGCAGAGATTAAGAAACATAATTGGCAAGTACAAAATAAGAGGATGTTAAGAATAGCATAGGAAATGGAGAAACCAAAGAACTTATATGCACAACCCATGGACATGACTAAGGGAGGGGGTTGCTGGAGGGAAAGGAGATACCAGGTGGAGAGGGGCACAGTGGGAAAAATTGGGACAACTCTAATAGCATAATCAATAAAATAAATTAAAAAAATAAATTTTCAACATGTAAATATATTTATTTCTTTTTGGGGGGATTAATATAACAACTATCTTCAGGGAAAAGTAAAAATAACTACGTTAAAACCGTAGAACATATTTTTTTATAATATAAACTGATGATACCAGAGAAAATTCTTTTCTTTGTTATGTAATTATCTGAATGATAATGACTTATTTCCATTCCTTGTGGAATAAGTCAAACATCAGTGAATTGCCATACTAATTACTATATTTGAAGAATATTGTGTGTGTGTGTGTGTGTGTGTGTGTGTGTGTGTGTGTAGATTACATTTTAAGTAATTAGTTTTAGGCTATTTGGTATATAGATCTATTTTTTTATCAGTTCATTTTACTTCAATATAATTCAAGTGATATCGTTTTCATATGTTGATGAAAATCAATCTCTGGAATCACTACCCACAATTCAGGCTCAACACAAATTCATGCATTTGTTTTTATAAGTTTGTATAGAATATCATTTATGTGCAAAACACTTATACATTGTGTGTTATAAGAAAACTAAGACCATAATTTATTTTTAAGGAAAAGTTTAGGATTAACTAAAAATTGACCAAATAAAGAATTTTAATAAGTTATAACTATGCAAATAAGACTGAATTCTTAGGACTTCAGGTTTAAATGGGTTCTCACATAACTTCCAGGTGGAGGTTGCAAAAAATTATGAGTAATCAGAATGTGGCCCTAAGAGATGAAAGATTTAAACATAAAGAAATAGATTTTGTGGTAGAATTTTCTAAAAGATTTCACTTGCCTGTATACCAAATAGTCACGAAACATGTTCTGAGACCAAATGAGAAATAAGCACCTAATTTTTGTAGAGTAATAATAAGTAATAACAACTTAAATTAACAAACTGAACCATTCTAATAGATTTATATACATACATTCAAGGTGAATATTATCATGCACAGTTTATGAGTAAGGGTCAGAATTGAAGCCTCATTGCAGAAAGTGGAGGATCAGAGGTATGTTGTTTGTCTCTCATTGTCACACAGCAAATGAAAACCAAGCTAAGATTAGAGTCCTGAACCCTCTTACTACAAAACCTAACTTCATAGGGACAACTTTTCACTTGCCTATGCTTCATTCCACTAGTTTTAAATGCTAAGCAGGAAAACTAGT